GTTGAGGGTGTCACCTTCAAAACATCTCACTTAAAATGTACCTGGGGTTTGCTGAAACTAATTTATTTGCCCTCTTCATTGAAAAAAAAAAAAAGTCCCTTAAACTACTGAGCTGATGCTGGGGATCTGAGAGGATGAAAAAACATATTATTGAAAAAAGAAGGCGTGGTGCCAGAGCTTTGATCTGGTAGAAAGAGGCTGAGGGGTCTCAATGGATAGAATTTGGATGTGCATCCCAGGGGCTCCAGAGAGCAGAAAGGATACACTTGGGACAAGGAAAAACAATAAAGAAACAAAGAAAAATTCTGTTGAAGACAGAGATAATTTTCCTTTCTTCATAAAGCTCATTCTCCTATGAATTGCATTCACACAAGCAGCCAGCACTTACTGAGCAGCTGCTGTAAACTAGGCACTGTGCTAAGCATGTTGCATGCCCTATTTCACTGATTCTTCACAGCTACATTGATTCTTCACAACTACTATTGTTATCCCATTTTCAGATTGGGGAAGTGAGATCTGAGAAGGAGTGAGTGACTTGCCCAAAGTCACACAGCTGGGAAGTATCAACAGGGTTAGTGGTAGAGATGAGCACAAAGATTTAATCAAAGCACTAGAACCTTACCACAAAAATATGACCACTGTGTTATATTGCCTTAATTCTTTTCATAGAAATGAACTGACCAGGCCATTGGGGGCTAAGGAGAAAAAGACAAAAACAAACAACAGCAAGAACAACCACAGCAATATCAAACAATGGGAGGGAAAAAATACTGAACTTGGTGTCAGGAAATCAATGATTTAATATACTGTTTAATCATTTGAAAGAAAAGACAGATTCTCTGAACTCCACAGCTTACAAAAAGTATAGTGAGATGTTGAGTAGTATTTTCTATTGCCCAGAATTGGTGACAGGCCAGAGTAGAGAACAAAGAAAGGCTCCAGAACTCACATTCTAAAGATAGTCATACATGACTAGGGCCAGATATTCATGCCAGGGCTTACTAAAAGTCAGGAAAACAGGCTTCGCTACACCCGACCATCACCTATATAATGCTGTCAGAGGTGTTCCTTCCATCTGAATCTCTTTGGCATTCACCATTTCCATGCACTACTTCAGCTTTCTAAAAAAAGAACCCGCATCTGTCTGCCTGTGAGCTCTCTCCATCTACAGGAGCATGTTCTGCTATGCATGAAATATTCTGGAAGTTCAGAGAGTCATTTTGTCCAGGAGCAGCTCTTAGCCAAGAATGGAAAGTAATTGAAAGGAAAATAAACCAGCTTCCTTACCCTCAGGAAGCACCTTCATGAATATTCATCTCCTTTCTTTTGCATTCTGAAATGCTATCTTCTATACTTAGGAAATTTCTTAATTTAGTCATAATAGGATTGGCTAACCTGTAGTAACAAGTAATCCTAAATCTCAGTAACTTGAAAAAAAACTCTCAGTATCTTACTACAACAGAGATTTCTCCATCAGGTCATGATCAAAGTGAGTTAATTACCTTAACTGGATGACTCTCTTCCATGCAGTGGAATTCTCTTCCAAGAATCCAACTATTCTTTTTTTATTTCATCTTGAGGCTACAGAGTTTCAACACACAAGTTCCACACACTATGCCAAAGGGCAAAAGAGAAATGGACGAGGTACATAGGCTTTTAATAATTGCTTTTGCCTGCAAGTTTGTCACTTTCATTCAAATCCCATTGGCCAGAACTTGTCACATGGTTACGAACTAACTGCAAAGGAGGCTGGAAACAGCCAGGGAACACGTGTGTATTTTGTGAACACTGATTGCTTCTGTCACAACTCTTTTCCTTTTTCAAACCCAGTTCAGGAGCATTCTTTCATGAAAACTTGGACTGCTCCTCCTGCCCCTTCCACCACCCTCCTGTTCATTTGCACAGTGCTTTGATGTACATCTCTAATTTTAGCTTCTTAGATTGCTTTCTAACTTTGCTCTTGCATTGTCTCATGAACTACACAAAAGCAAAGAAAAAAATACTTATTTCTTTTTCTAGCCCCCATAACACTACCAACAATTTAGGTAGGATTTAATGAATCTTTAATGAATGAATTAATGAATGAATGATGTTTTACAAATAACTTTGATTTTGTGAGTTTCCTGCACTAGCTAATCACCGGGGCATGCAATGGATTTCTCCAAGAAGCCATCATTGACTCTTTAATGTAAAAATGTTCCTTGACTGTATTTCTCCTTCTGGGAATGGCAAGGAACCAAAGTCAGGGAAGCAGCAGATAACAATAAAACCGAGCATTCAGAGCCTTGAACTAGTACAGCAGGACTCAGATGCCAAATACAGGTCAGGAATAAAAACTGGACCTCTGGGCATTAACACTCTCTCCAGGCAGGCTACACCGCCCCCCAACAGACAATGTGCCCAGCTCAAGCTGCTAGGGCAGCCAGCATTTCCAAGCCCAGAGTCCAAAACTTCATAAGAAGAGATGAGCTGAGCTGAGCTGATCTCCAACTGGCAAGAATAAATGAAGGAAAAGATTTCTCAGTTGAGGATCCTCTGAGAAAAGGAAAATTTTAAGCTTCCCAAAATTCATCACTCTTGCCATATGCTGTGACTTTTCCATTCATACCAGCAATTGTAGAAATTTTAGCTTCTGAATATAACATTGAGAAATTAATGAAGAGTTTATAAATAAGTGCTGACTCAGAGCAGGGCCCTTGTTAATGTTCTTCAAGACCTGTAGTAATTAATGTCTCAACCAAGGCCCTCACTCTTTCGGACAGTCCCTACCAAGGAGGCCCTTGCTACCCTTCTGTGACCTTGTTACTGCAAACCTCACCGCCTCTTTATAGCAAACCTAAGACTCTCCAGGATTCTCAGTTTATGCCAAAAGCTGAAAACAGATTGTGTCAGGATAAGAACTGGGAAAAAGATGTAGAGAATGAGAGCATGGGGAAGTAGGATAGAAAATTTAAGCAGGGGGTTTTGGGCCCTGAATATATGGGGCCTCCTGACTGTATAATTAATCTGAGACACCCACAAATGGTTTGCCAGCATCATGTAGTAGCTGGACCTAACCTGATGCTGCACTGTCCAGTATGAGCAAGATTTTTGCCAGGTTGCTGTCCTGGAAACAGGTCCCTAGATAACCCCACGGACATATCCCCAGAGCCTCTCAGGGTTCCTGCACAATCTCAAATAGGGGTTAGATGGTCAGGGAGATAATAGAGACCAGGTGCTTCTGTGGACTCAGAACATCTAGCCCAGATGGCACTATCTTCAAGACTGGCTACACAATTTTGCAAAGCTCAGAACAAAATAAAAGTATGGTACTTATTTAAAGATGCTTTGGTGTTCCAAGGCAGTGGCAGCAGCTTCTTGGATGAGGCTCTGTGTGACCCCACAAGTTGTAGCCCACAAAGCTAGCCAGAATTACTGGCCTCCACTGGTTCCAGGCACTAAAGTGAGACTGAGAAAACTTTAAAGTGTGGGGGCCCTCAATGTGGGGACTAGGACAGGAGTCATGCTTACTGGGTCCAAGTACTAAGCCAAGATTATAGAGAAAAGGAGCAAAAGTCAGTGATAAACCACTGCTTATCCCCAAATCCCAAATGCCAAGGAAGCTCATGACAGAAAATAGCTAAGAACTTTATGAAGCACTTATGCAATAAATTCACAGCCACCCAATAGAATACTACATAGCCACCAAAAATAATGTTTATGAAAGCCTTCTAATAATACATAGTAAAAATTATTGCAATATAAATTCAAGTGAATCAGATACAATCACAATTATGTGACTATGCATGCATAAAATACTAGCTTTAAATAGAAGTATAATTTCAACAGTGGGTACTCCTGGTTGGGAAATATTATAAGTGACATTTTTCGTCTTTTATAGTTTCTACGACTCAAATTTTCTCTAATGAACCAAAATTAATTTTGTAAAGAACACAAAACTTCAGGGCTTTTAGTAAAATACAACAAATTTTAAGTATGGATGGTACCTTAAGACCTCTTACTTCTAATAAATTCTAGAAATGTTTTATTATGAAGTTTTATAAGAAATGGCCTCTGATATGCAGTGTTCTTTAATTTCTGAATGGTAGGAAAAAGACAATGCTACTTTCAATAATAGTGATCTTTATAACCCATTTTAATATAAAATATTAAACATTATAAGAAAAGCCATATTCCAAATTCTTACCAAACCAGTTTACCTAATGTCAAACTATCCCTTGTCCCTTGGAGTGGGCCGTGTCATTGTTCTAGATGTGAGAGTTAGTGCCATTGAGAACCTGGAAGACAGATATTTAGATAGCAAAGCCAAAGGCTTCATACTGCAAAGTATACTAAAAAAATAGCTTTTTTCTTTTTCTATATCTTATCTTTATTTCCTCATGGACCCCTTCATGTCATTCCCATAAAATTATTAGATAGAGAGAAAGAGGAAGGTGTTTTTGTCAATTGGTGATTATTCATCTCTACTAGCTTAAAATACTGTCTCAGATTTGCTCAGTAGAAACTCAAATTTTCAGTTGAGAGAACTAAAAGACTTGAGGGTTTCTTGAAAGGATATCTGAATAATGATTAGTCTAGATACCACAAACTTGATCCTTGGATTAAGCAAAAGATGTGAATTATGCAAGAGACATTGTTCTGAAATGCTGCCATATGCTTTTGCTACCCCTTTCTATGCAGCTACTCTACTGGCATATTTGAAGAAACAACTCCTAATGAAAATAATTTTGTTTATGCACAGGGTGCCCTGATGATTACACTTGTCGACTTGAGACTTGATTGGCTTGGGAGCTGCCTGGGGGATTAGTAAAGCACACTTCTGGGTGTTCCTGGTTGGGTCCTGGAGGTGTGACCTGGAGTACTGTCTACTCCCTCATCTTATCAGGCCCTGTTGCCCTGCTCTGCTTGCACCATGAACTAAGCAGCTTTGTTCCACCACACCCTTCCATTGTGATGTTTCTGCCTTGGAGCCAGTCAATAGGACTGAATCTCCTGAAACCCTGAGCCAAGTTAAACCTCTGCTGCTTTAAACTGTGAGTGCTGGGCACTGTATCTCAGCAATGCGCAAAGTGACAAATACTGACAGTGAGGTGTAGGGGTCAATTAGAAGAATCCATGAGACACATTTCCCTTGGGTATCCATTAGAAATCTTTAATTTGTTTTTTCCTTATAGATTCCTGGACCATTGAAAGGATTACATTTTCTTCTTGCTTGCTTTGGCTGCTAGGAAACTCAAAGACAAATGTAGAGTTCATCTTTAATAAGTGCATAATAAATGCCATTTATTTTGTTCATTAATCTTATATTTAGTTCCAACTGACTTTTCCTTTCTTTATTGTTCTTAGCCCCCATTTCCTCACCACTTAGGTTTTATCTTTTGTACTCTGTAAATCACCTCACGATAGTTTTGAAACAATGAAGCTTGCCTTGAACTTGCTGTGCCCTCACAGACACAGGAGTACTTTAATCCTGAAATATGCTATTAAAGACTGTTTTACAAGAAAATGTTTCTCCCACTGGACCATACTCCTTAAGAGCATAAACTATTCCTCACCATGTGGCATCTGGCACATAATAAGCAGTTTGAAAATGCTTGTTTGAGTGAATGAATACAAGGATGGAGGAAGGCTTTGAAAATGATTGAAACGTGCAAAAGAGCCTTACATTGTAGTATTTGTCACACGTGACAGTTTGCTTTAAAATATTGTGATAATCTGTTATCATACGATAGCTCTATGAAAACTAGGATGAAATTTTAACATCTGATTTTTTCAGCACTATCCACCAAGTCTGGTTCTGCAAAATGACTGGCTGTAAACACGTTTGACGGCCTTTATTCATTGTGAACACAGACATGCAGCTCCGTGAGGCAGGTTCCACTGAATCTGCTGTCACCAGGGAGATCTTTTCTTCAACTCACAAAATCTTGAAGTAAAAATACTTTAGCCTGTGAGTTACAGAAAATAAGCAAATCTTTCCTGTGAGGAAACTAGTACAGTTTACCAGGGGAGATTATACTCAGGAGCACCTGAGTGACCATGAAAGCCATCACTGCAGTGAAGCCCTAAATCTAAGGTGCCTGAGCCCTCTGTGTTGCATAAAGGTTTCTACAGTCTCGATGCAGTAATAACAGATTATGTCCTACATTTGTGCAATACTTTGTAAAATACTGTACAGAAAGGTTGTAGCCTTTCAAACTTTTTACCAGGTACCTGATAGCAAGAAATTGATTGTAAACATTCACTGTGTGCCAAACACTAGGTTACGTAAGCACTTTACAAATATTTATCAGGGAAAATATTGAAGCTGACAATTACTGCCTCCCCTTCCAAAAACAAAGCAGAGCCAAGAACCCCCTCTACACGCTGAAAAAAGATGATGTGTGGGGATGCACACAAGGAAGAAGAAGCAGAAAGACCCAAAGGTAAGGTTGAGAGTAGCAGCAAGCTCAGAAAGGGAGAGGGACAAGAGACGTCCAGAAGAAAGGTCTGCCTTCCTCACAAGAGGGGAGAGAGCCTGGGAAAGAAGTGACAGCTGTCACAGGGAAGTAGGAGAAATGTGACACTGAGAGAACTTTGAAGTGCGATGTGCAGTATAATCTCTGCTGTGAAATCTGCAGTAAGCATGTGTGAGGCACTTCTATACAGAAAGAAGAGAGGTGTGTGTGCAGAGCACGAACACCGAGAGGTTCCCAGGTTACCCACGTGATCTCTTTCATTTCTCTCTTTGTAAGATTCATCATCGCAGGCCAAGTGTCAGTGGACTGCAGCTCCTGGACCAAATCTGGCCAGCCTGGATTTGCAAACACAATTTCATCAGTGCACAACCGCACCTATCCATTTCGGTGCTGGCCATGGCTGCTCTCACAGGACAAAGTCTAAAGTCATGAAATGGGGCAGGGTCTGTCAGACCCACCAAGCCTGTGATGCTTGCTATCTGGCCCTATGTAGAAAGTCTGCTGACCCTTGTTCTCAATTCCTAAAGAAGAAAGATAGCATCAGTAAAGTCAAAAGATTTTATCAGTCAGGCAAATAGTGTTGGAGAAATTTAGAATAAGCAAACCCGAGTTTAAGATAGATTCACTGTTTCCTCAGCCAAGTTTTCTGAACTGTATGACGGATTAATAATACATACCTCACAGAGTTATCAGAAGATGCAGATTTAAAAATAATTTTTAAAATGTGTTTTAAAATTCATAAACGTTAGGGAAATGTCATGTTGCTGATGGTTCAAAAGTGGTAAATTGGTAAATAAAATGCTATAGAAGCTTCTCTCTCTCTCTTTCTCTCTCTCTCTCTCTCTCTCTCTCTCTCTCTCTCTCTCTCTCTCTCTCTCTCTCCTTCTCTTTCTCAGAATCCATGCAGAATTGATTTGCTTCCAGGACAATGCCCCACCATCATTACCAGATAACAATTCCTTGTAGATGTCCAAGCCCCTTATACAAAATGCATAGGATTTGTATATAGTTTATATAAGTCACCTCTTGATTACTTATAGTAGCTAACAAAATGTAAAATTTATGTAAATATTTGCTATATTATATTGTTATGGTAAGAATGACAAGAACAAAGTCTGTACATGTTCAATACAGCTTTTTCCAAATATTTTTAAGCATCACTGGTTGACCCCGAGGATGTGGAATCCATGGATACTTAAGAGTCATCAGTACCAATAAGTTTATAGATATTTCCCACCATAATGTCCCTGGACAAGGAGAGACTGAGCAAAGTGCTCTGCAAAGTTAATGAAAAAGACTCTGTTATTTTGTTAGACTTATCAGTATGGCATGTTTCTTTTTAAAATTTTATAACAAGAGTTTAATGTGGAATATATCTCTAGGGACACTTTCTATTTCCATGAAATTTGTCAATTGTGACACTCTCTTCACACATAGGAGCTTCACCTGGCTGAAGAATAAATATGAGGAAGAAATACAACAACTGTAAAGCAAAGTTTATGCGCATGCAGCAATAATGAGGCCATCACAGTGACATAACCAGAAGAAGACCAAGAGCACTTTAGTCTTTCAGTGAATAAAGGGTGTTCACAAAAATCCTTATACAGGACATATTCTAACTTTTGGAGTTTAAATTATGGGGGTGTTAGACAACCTGCCAGTAACATTTAAAGGCAAATCATAAATGCTTTTAGGACAAGAAGAATATTATATCTCAGTATGACTATTGGCCACCACGATGTGAGGCCTAGATTCTCAGCTCATTCTGTCAACCCCTTGAAGACTACCTGAAATACCTGCATAAAATATGGTTCTGTTGCATCAACAAAGCATTTATTACTCCCCGTAAAATACATTAGATCAAGTGAGAAAGTGGTCAAGCAATTGATCCACTTTTCTCTAAATGACACTTGAGCTTATTTACTAAAGTTTTAGAATAGCTAAAACATATAATTATATACTTCTACATAACTACCAACTTCTTTCTCATTTGCTCCTAAAAGACATAACAATTTCCTTGTTTATTTGCCATTAATGAAATCCATTTCAGCAAATCTCATCCAAGTAGAGGTTAAAATGCTACACACTTAAGTTTAGTTAAGAGCAGAGAACTTTCATCTTACAACTGATAAAATCTTCAATTTGCTAGCCATCTAGCAGTCATCATTGCAATTATAATTGCCCTGTTTAGTTCATTGAGCTTGGAGAAAATAAGTTGCATATTGTTGTGTTGCCCTGAACTAATTTAATAAAAAATTTTAAATGCTATTCAGAGAGTACCTGGCATATCTTTGATCTAAGGCATTAAAGATAAAAAGGTATAATAAGTTTGTGATGAACCTATATTTGTAATTACTAGCGTTGATTCATAATTCCTTCTTAGCTCAGAATAATGTTTCCCTGGAGCATTTTTTCAAATAGAGAAAAGGAAGAGTCCTATTTTAAACCCTCAAAATCAACATTTAATGTAAAATCATATTTTAGTGATGCCCATTAGAATTATATGAAAATTATTTTTAATTGAGTTTATTGGTACATTTTAGGTATACAGTACAGTTATTCATTATTGGAATCTTGTACCTTTACATGACAGGTCTTGGTTCTCATTTTTTCTTCTTGTCTCTGCCCTCCCTTCACCCGCTCCTCCTTTCCCTATTTATAAACACTTTATTTCCATTTTTTCATTTTCTCCTATTTTTTTCTTTTCCCCTATTACCTTTCCCCTACCCTTCCCACTTTCCCTAAACCTTTAGCCCCTTTCTTCCTATTTATATGAGAATTATTACAGATTCAAACTTTTAAATCTAGTTGAACTAACCAAATCAAAATCTCTAGGGACTTAGATTTATATTTTTAATGAAGGTGTCAGAGGACTCTTTTCACAGTTCATTCTATACTAGTCTGGGCACTTTCAAATAACACTAAATAATCCATCCACCTTCCAAAGGACTGATCTTGTGCTACTGAAAAAAATATTAATAGTTCATGGAAAACACAAAAGTTAACAAATACAAGGGACCACAGTAGATAAAAATATATAATCATATAAAGTACCTAAAATCAAAATAAAACAAGCATCTTGAATAGGATGCTTTATCATGTAAAAATGTCAATTTTGCCCAAATGTAAGTCAAATTAATATTCTAAAATTTAAAATTTAAAACATTAATGAATAGTTAAATCAACTTTGAAAATAAGGAGACAATATGATGGGAGAGATTTGCTTTACCAAATATTAAGACACATTAAAAAAAACATAGGAAAAGACCCCGGAGGGGGTCTCTTCAGCTGCCTGCCTGCCTGAGATCACCCGGTGGGTGCGCGACCTCCCGAACTGCATGACAACAGACCCAGTAAGGAAGGTAGCCATGCGGGCGCCCTTGAAACACCCCCATGACCTCCCCCCCACCCCCGTTCTCAAACCTCCTGATTGGGCCAGTCCTTAGACCAA